TCCTCTCCCACGTCTGCTGAGATAGAGCAGGCAGAGCCGCAGGATCACGAAACCTGGCCAGGACATGTTTGCGCCTCCCCTCACGCCTTTGAGCGGGGTGCTCGCAGCAGGCTCCTAGCAGAGCCCTAGAGGACACCATCCTCTGCTTTCAGAGCAAGGGAAGAAAGCAGAAAGTTGGTCCAGTGCAAGGAATTCTCCTTCTGCTTTCAGACAGAAAACATTTCATTTTTTTTCATGCCCCACAGGGGTGAGAAGTCCTGGGCTCAGCTGCCTGGACAGGCTGAATGGCAGGGTTAGGTTAACGGTTGAACTTGATTTTGAAGGTCTTTTCCAACCTAAACGATTCTGTGATTCTATGCCAGCCAGGCTGCTGCCTGCTCTCACGGGCAGAGAGGAGGAATTTGGTGTGCAGAGGTTGCTGAGGTGAAAGCAACGAGAAAACTCTGTAAAGAAGCAGGCTGGCAGCTTAAAAGAGAGAGGAGCTGAGAGTCCCGCTGTCAAACCAGAGCAGGATGGAAGATAAGGGGCATGGCTCACTGACCAGCCCAGAGGTGACCCTCCTGTGATGGGAGCTCCTGCGGGCTGAGGCCATGCTCTGCACGTGGACCTGAACAGGCAGGCTAAGGGCTCCCCCGCTATCCCCAGGCGTGCAGCAGGCGCCGGGCATCCAAGCAGCGTCGTCTGTGCTGGCAACAAACCATCTCAGAGGCACCACCCACAGGCTCAGCCAGAGCCAGGCACAGCTGGGATAATACGACCTGAGAACTCTGCAGGGGTGCTGTCCCCACCACAGAGACCAGTCGTAACCAAGATCATGACTGGGGTGTTGATCAGAAACACGCGGGCATTGCGCACAGCGGTGATGCAGCTGACGTGGCTGTGCACGCACTGCCTCTGCTGCAAGTCCCCACAGCGGAGCGGAGCAAACCCAGCACGGTGGCAGGGATGGCTCCTCCCGCAGATGGCGGGGTGAAGACAAGCGGTCCCCGCAGTGACCCAGGAATAGGGGGTCAGAGTGATCCCAGCTGGAAAATCCCTGCTATTAGAAGAGTGCAAATTAGCCTGGATCATAGTGACAGGACTGGATTTGGGAGTAACTGCGCGTGAAGTCGGGAAGCAGTGCCGGTCCCCAGCAGCCGGGTGCCATAACCTCATCTTCCTCCCCAGTCGCGGACAGACCGGCATAGCCAAGTGGTTCGCAGGCACATGACGGGGTGGGCTGCCAGCCAGGGACTGTTAGGAGGTTTAAATTATTCTGGTTCTGGAAAGGTATGGGGACTGTGCCGCTGGGCCCGCGTGCCCGTTCGGAGTCCCCGGTGCTGACAAGCTGGGGAGCGTGCCAACAGGGCTGGATGTGGTTCAATGCAGACACAGGTTTCGGTGGATGCTGCAGCCTGTTCCAGAACCGCAACAAAGCTTGGCCCTGGCAGGGACCTGCAGGCAGGCTTTTAGAAGTCTCTCGACGCTTAGAAGTGAATGTGGGAGGGGACTTTTTTCTTCTGTCCACCAAAACCAACAGTCACAGTGCCCGAGTCCTGACTGGGAACTCGCATATCTGCTCAGGCTGCATTTTATGAAGGCATTCCAGATCACACAAACCCAGGGGGATGATGGTTCCTGGCGTGCATGCTGGGTGCAAGGTCTGCAGGCTTTCTCCTGTGGTGCACTTCGTCCTTTTGGCCAGGCTGGAAATGTCTGTTGACCGACGGAAAAAAATTCCTAACAGATGCCAAGTGGTCAAATAAATATTAATTACACAGTGCTGTGGAAATTGTATTACAATACCTGGCTAATGCATTTTGCAGCTGCATTCCCACTTATTAATTGCTTATATTAAAACAGCACTCAGAAGCGCCGTTTCACCGACAGCTGTACAAACCCAAGCTGAGTTTGCTTCTTGCTCATGAAAGAACTCGGCCGCTCCCCAACCACCCAGTGTCCCCAGTGGAGAAATCCCATGTTTAAAAACCCAAATAAAACCACATCTTTGTTATTCTGGAGACCTGTCTAGCTGTATTCTGTTTGGCAGTCTTTATTTCCTGCTGCAGAAATGGGATACCCTGTTGTATCATTTTCTAATTGCATATTAATTAGCATTTTCACTGTGGTTTTGTACTGAATCAAATGATTGCATCTCCAGGATTACCCAACACAGCTGAGTTAAGCAAAATACAAATCTTCTCATCCTTTGGTGTACTCACACCTGCTGTACTACTAAAATGTAAATGTGGTAAACAGTGAAGAGAGAGTGCAGAACAGTTTGCGTCAGGGAGTGCTGGAAAGCATATCCAATGAAACCGCATGGGAAGTTACCTCTGGTGTATGTTTATGTGGGTTGGGATTCGCAAAGCAACTTGTGTATCAAGTGACATTAAGAGTATAATTACTACTATAAGGACTTTTACAAATAAAATCCTAGCTAAAAATCTGAGACTAAGCTTTTCTTTTTCTACGCTGTGAATTAAATCCTTAGTAGGTCATTATATACAATATATATAAAATGTATGAAAAGGTACAGGCTTTCTTTGGACTTCACTGATTTTTATCCTAGTTGATATTTTAAATATATTTTCCTAAAATATATTTATACACATACACACACAATGTTTTAGTTGCATCCATTTCGGTGGACAAAATAACATTCCTGAACACATAAACATATCGACAGTCTCTAATTTAAAAAAAACCTTCTTTTGGATGACCTTTCTGGACAATGTTCTGCCTTTGACCAGTTTCAAAGGTTATGTTTTCACTTTCTCGTGAACAAAACCTTCATCACCAGTCCCCTGAAGAGTGCTTTGCTCTGCAGCCCTGGTTCTGCTCCCCCACAGAAGCAGCCTTGCCAGCCACCACCGAGTACCTTCAAACACACCCGCACCCGCTTTCCTCCTGACAGTGCAAATGCCTGATAAGCGCTGGCTGCGATGCCAGAGCTCGAGCTCCTCCCGCTCCGATGCTCCTGGGCTTGGCGCAGGGCCGGCCGAGAGCCTGGCGTCATGCCAGGGAGCTCTGCTGGCGCAGCCTCGAGAGATGCCTGTTTGTCAGAAACGGGGCGAAGGACTCGGAGGACTTTGGTCTGCCCTACGTTGGCCATGCCAACGGCCCCGTGCTCCTGCGAGAGCAGAAACCCAAACCCTCTGGGCCTGATTTTTGCACCAGTGAATCCAGCTGCAGCACACAATGCTGGGGCTTGCCCATGGCCTTCAGCCCTGCTCCCCCAGGGGCCTCCAGAGCTGGGGGCCGCGGGGGGGGTGCCGTGGCTGGAGGGAAGGTGCCTGTCGCCTTGGTGGGGTACACACCAGGGCAGCCGTTTTCTGTGGCTGCTGGTTGTGGTTGTGCTTCTTTGCATGTAATCCAATTGGGCAAATAAACTGCTCGAGGAGGAGTGCATGCACCAAGGCTGATGGAGCAATGCTAGTTTAAAATAGGTACATGCAGGAGAAAAAGGCCTCAAATTACAGTTTTCATTACCTTAACCAAAATATTCTTTTGATTTTTTTATAAACTATTCAAGCCCCAGTAAAAAAAAAATAAAAATCTAGTGAATACTTTAAAAGCCATTTTAAACTTCAGCTATGTTTCCCCACAATACAGCTTGATTGCACTTGCCACTGTGTGCTATAGCATCAGCTCTCATAAAGACCTCAGCAAATTATTTTTTCTGCAAACACCCAGAGAATCCACAGGATCCATGTGTGCATCCATCCCATCTTGCAAGCAACAATCCCACCGGTCGCTGTTAGTTGCTTTGTTCTCCCAGTTTCAGCCTGTCAGGCTGTTTCAATGGGAAAACTCTCCCGAGGGCTGCCAGGCATGCGGGAGCTCCAGCCCACAAGATCTGAGCAGGGCGCTGCAGGATCGGCCATGCCTGCCAGGAACTCCTTGCTTCCTCATGACTTTTTTTAGCCAAAGGTCACACGGCCTTTTCAGCAGAAACAAAGTTCTACGGTTTCTCCCATAAGCTACTTCTGCTGTTTCAGGGAGACAGACGAAAACAGTATCATAGCTTTACTAGTATAATTAAAAAAAATTGTTAGCATTTCAGCGCAGAGCTGGCAGCTGCTAGGAACCTGGTCTGAAATCCCCATGGCAGCAGGCGCTGCCAGGAGCACCATTTCCTGCGACTGCCGCTGCCCCGCGCAGGCACCTACCGCCCAGTTCCTTCCCAGCGTGCCCGTACGGGGGTGCATGGGCGAGAGGAGATGTCGAGCATCAGTTCTGCACTGCTCTCACAGACCACCTGCCACCAACTTCCATACATGGTTCAGCGGGGGGATCTGTACGATCCATTGAATTCACTCAAAATACACACTGGACTAACACACACAGTCTTTGGTATTGCATGAAATATTTAAAGTCCAGCCCTTGGTGAATGTTAACAAGCGAAAAAAAAAACCCCCAACAATCAGTGGACAGACGTTGAATAGCACCAGTGCCCTAGAAGGGTTGTAGTAACTTGCGGCTGCAAGCCCCACGCTGGGTACAAAGGTCTTCATCAACATTTACGCAACCTCTCCTTTGAGTCTCATGTTTCAAGTTTACTCAGCTTGTCAAGCAATGGAGGATGAGGGACTTGCAGCAGGCAGATTAGCTCAGTTCAGCTGTTAAAAGTGAATGTAATTTTTAATCTTGTATGTCCCATGCAAAGGCTTCCCAGCTAACACTATGTTAATTACACGAACACTTTGGTTATCAGCACCACTACCCCTTAATTGGAATGGCAGGCTTTCCACTAGGGAGCCACCACCACGAAGTTTCTGGTGAAATAATGCTTAGCAATTTCCACAGCACTTTTCATCTTCAAATGCTATACAAACATAAACTCAGTTAGTTACCTCTCCCAGCATCCCTTAGAGGTAGGGAAGTGTCGTTACACACGTGTCACCAAATGGGAAGACTTTAATGACACACAATGTCTCGCCCCGGACAACACAAAGGCTCAGGGTTGGATTTGGTTCCTCAGCATCGGTACCTAGTGCTAGTGTAGAGTGCCTTTGGGGATGCACAGGGGGCTGGCAGGTAAGGAGCAGCAGCTCCAGGACCCCTTCTGTAGCAGCTAGAGGCCCGAGGAGACAGCCTGGAGTATCGCAGATGGTGCCAGGCACCCATGTGCATACAGCTGAGTCTGCTGACAGAGCAAGCATTAGACAGTAGGAGATTCCAGCATTTAGACTGTAGGATCCCAAAGGAAAAAAATAAATCAACCTGCAAGCCTCTTCCAGACCATTCATAATACAGAATAATAATCTCCATGCGGTGCAGCACTCTCCTTACTGAGCAAGCCTGAACAAACACGCGTATGTTGTGTTCTCTGCGCATTAGGTGACTCTCAGATAAATGCAGCGAGTCTTCTACGGTGCCACAGCACAAGGTCACACGAACATTGGAAGTGCAGCTCCCACCTTTCCCCAGAGAAGATCTTGATGACAAGGCTATGCAACCCGTCTACAACTACAGCACCGGCAAGCCACGCTCATCACCCTCATGTAACAGGGATTACTCAGCCACTGAGCTGGAAAAATGGGTTAAGAATAGCCAAAGATCTGCTCCAGGAGCAGGAGGGACAGGTCTCATCCAGCCCCGCTGGGACTCTCAGCTGCTAGAGCACAAGGTTGCAGAGAAGGGACAGTTGTCTGCTTCCCTGCATGCTGGGATGAGCACTCCTGTACTATCTCACCAGCAGCGTCCCCTCCAGAGATACACATCCAAGGTCGTAACAGGCCCTTACGAAGGACCATTATTCAAAATTCATGCTGTTTCTGTTTTCTTAATGTGAGAATAAACATATAACATTAATGCAGCGTTGTGGACAGTGACCTTGATGAGGGAGCGCCTATGCATGCAAGCTCAGGCAACCTAGAGTAATAGTTACAACTGCAACTTTATTTTCTCCCCGTATTTTTCCAGAAGAGTCATCACAAGTAGAAAATACCATATATTTGCACCAAGTGCCAGAGGTATGGTTGCCATGGGAATGACAACCTTCAAAATTCCCTCTAATTTTTTCATCCATTTAAAATCTTGATCAGAAAGCATGTTAATGTGCTGCATGGGCTTTATGCTTGATATATGTCATACTTTTACAGTACATAAGGGTTTGGGATTTTTTTCTTGCTTTTGCATATTTTGCTTAGAGGCTGATTAGCTTCTGTCTATGCAGATTAGACTTCTGTTAACCTACATCCCACAGTAATTATGTCATTTGCCCTTTAAGTCGGCAAATCAGGAAATAACCAAGACTGAATCCTCATCCTTCAGAGATCCCTGTGTGTCTGCCCTTACGTGGCGAGAGCAATGCTTTTGATCAACACAAAAAGCTGCTTCGCTCCCCTGCTACAACAAATACGCTTTGCTGGCAGCTGCGGAGCGGGGCGAACGACAAAGCTGTGTGTCCACCCAGCCCTAAGCCTGTCCCTCCTATATTCGTTTCAACCCTCTGGGCTCCAGATCAGCCCACCTTATCACCAGTTTGCCTATAAAGATGCAGCCAGGCCCAAGCCTGAGGTTCCTTCCAAGCTGGGATGGCAGAATCAGGGTATGGGGCAAAGGGGGACGTCAAGCAGGAGGTGCCGGAGTTGTAAGAGATGCCATTCTTCCTCATGCCTGCTGGATCCTGTCTTACTGTAGCTCCTACTATCAAAGTTTGTCATCCCACCTTGCACTTTTTCATCTTCCCTCTCTGCTTTGACTCTGATACTCCAAATAACAAAATAAGGAATTGCTACCAAACACTTTGTTTGGCCTCTTTGGGCTGGATTTTTTCACCTACTGGTGAGATTTAAGAAAATAAATGAGTTAAAAGGAAGTATGTGGGAGAAAACAAAACAAAAACCTTTCCCCGGCTTCTTCTATAAGACTTATGTGGAAGAGTACACCTGTAAACAAATACTTCTATATTTCTATTGTACTTGTGAAAGAAAATAATAATAGAAAACACTCTACAGGGTGAGGCCATGACCTGTATAAGATTACTGAACTCTTTTTGCATGTGCCGTACAAACTCTGGTATACGAGTCCTTGAAATTCACATCTCTCCTTTAGCCTCCCACTGCTGATCTCTTCACCAAGGTGTCTCTTAGCGTGTCAGCTGTGTTAGCTGCATTCTGCCAAACTTAGGCATCAGGCACCTCGGGGTACCTTCACAGGTAACCCGACCTTGATGCCTCATGCAATAAATCCCTAAAATCATTATTTCAAGTTACTTCACTTGACATATTAAGAGGCCTGACACATCTGGCTCTTATCCACCTGTTTGTCCTACATTCGTGTAGAGGCATGAAGTAGGGCAGATCTTGAAAACTCAACCCCAGAAAGGAAGGAATAAACGTGCCTCATAAAAGCAGAGGCGGATTTGGAGATAGGCCTAAAAGTAAGAGAAACCACTACAAAACACCCCTCTTTATGAAAGGGCACTGACAAACAAAGATAGTGATATGGGAAGCCAAAGATGACTGAAAGTAAAATGAGTCACTGCCAAGTGACTCCAAGTTTACAACCCATTTTAAATCAAACAAGATTCACCTCCAGGGCACTGGAATCATTCCTTTTGATCTAGCAAGCATTCAGGTGCTGCAGGTTGTGCCATGAGCACAGACCTGTTCGGTCACAAGTAATTTACAGAGTCTCTTCTCTTCAGGCACATCAGGAATGAAACTCGAGGGAGTGTAACTCACAGTGCCAAGATGCCTCCTAGACAGGAAGCTGCCCGGCTCTCTGGCTTTCTCGGCTTCCTTCCGGGATTAAACTACAAATCTTTCTCTGTCTCTTAGACAAATACTGTCCATGTATGTGGGGTTTTTTTCCCTGCTGCTTCGTTCTCAAGCAGAGAAATACACCACTCAAGCAAACAAATCCCTGTTTATTTCAGTCATGTCACCTGAGCCAAGACTCAGGTGTCATGGCTGAGTCTGATGTGTGAAGCTAACCTTGTACGTCCTTCCCCGACCATATGGCATTCTCAGCCAGGTGACTTAAAACCACTTTAAGTCATTTATACCTCAGTCACACACACAGATTACCTAGATTCCCAGGTATTGTAAAATCATTTTGTGCCTCTGATTTAACTTCGTCATCTATAATGCAGCAGAAAAAAACAAGCACCATGGGTTTGTCAAAGGAATTCATTACACGCAATCTTTCATTCTTAAAATGCTTGAAGGTTGCAGATCTCTGAACAGAACTGCAGAGCTGCATGCTCCCCAAATCTGTCGTTAACCTTCCCTTGGAGAAGGACCCGTTGTTTGCAAATAGAGAAGGACTGGTGGGTGATGTGGTGGCTGGAGGCCATCTTGGGCCCAGCTATCATGAAATGATCGAGTTCTCGATTCTCAGGGCTCAGCAGAATGGCTGCCTTGGACTTCTGGAGGGCAGATTTTGGCCTGCTTAGGAGCCTGGATGACAGAGTCCATTGGGAGGCAGCCC